CGCGAGCGCCCTCAGGCCCGCCGCTCCCAGGGGAGCCCGCCCGTCCCCGGTCCCCCGGTGAGTGCGACCCGAGGCCCAGCCTTCAACCCCTCCTCGCTGGGGACTGCACTTCCGGACGCCCGGTAACCAAACCCCACGGTTCCCTCCGCGTCTGTAGACACTGGTGTCTCCAGGGCACAGGGCCGGCGCCCGACGCCCTCCGTGCCAGCCCCCGCCCCCGCCCGCACCCCACCAGGCTCGGCCTAGGAAGATTGTATTTGAGGATGAGCTACCCGCCCTGGCCCTCCTGGGTGCCAGGAAATCTGATGCAGCCGGGCCTGGGGAGCAGAAGCGCAGGCCTCGCCCTGTGCCCGACTACGAGCTGTGAGTGCCCCTCCTGTGGTTCTCCATGCCTAAGGATAGATAGGAAAGGGGCATTGAAGCCGGGCTCTTCTGGGTGAATAAGAGTTTTATCAAATGCGGAAAAGGGCACCTTTGGAATCTAGAAACAAATTAGATTAAGAAGGGTGCAGTTACTTTCATTCACACTCTGGCCCCCTCGATCTCCTAGTAAGTACCCACCGCTGAGTAGCCAGAGGGCTCGGAGCCGCTATGTGGCTGTGTTCCAGGACCAGTATGCAGAGCTCTGGAAGCTCCAGCGCGAGGTGGGCGCCACCCAGGCCAAGCTGCAGCAGCTGGAGTCCTTGCTGCGTTCCCTGCCTCCGCCCCGAGGCCAGGTGAGGCGGGCGCAAGGGCAGCCCCTGGGAGGCCTCCCTCCCCCCCAGTCTCCTTTCCGATGTGTCCTCGTCCCCTCCCCCACAGGAGCAGGCCCAGGCAGCTGCCCGTGTCAGGCGTGAGCTGGAGAAGAAGCGCTCGGTGAGGCGGGGGTCCTTGGTTTGGCACTGCCACGCCTCGGGGAGAGGGGAGACTGAGGCATAGCCATGGTTCCCGCCCTCCCAGGACCCGGGCTTCCTACACAAGCAGGCGCACTGTCACTACCTAAAGGGTAAACTGAGGCACCTCAAGACCCAAATTCAGAAATTTGATGACCATGCAGACAGCGAGGGCCCGGTGTACTTCTGAGCTTCCCTGACCTGGACACAGGAGGCTGTCACTCTTGCTTCCCCAACTGGCCAGGTGGCCTTCACCAGGGGACTATGGTCTGTCCCAGGGGAATAAACACCGTGCCCACTGTGTGTGGCCAACTAACACTCCTGACAACCTAGTTGTCACCAAAAGTCTCTTCTGTTTTCCAGGGGAGGAAAAAAAAAATGAGATCCCGTTAGGCGTGGTGGCGCACGCCTGTAATCCCAGCACTGGGGAGGCTGAGGCAGGAGGATCGCTGGGAGTTGAGACCAGCCTGGGCTACATAGTGAGTTCCAGGTCAGTTTCAACTACATAGCAAGACCCTGTCTCAAAAAACCGAAAAAAAAAAAAGAGAGAGATCCCAGTAAAGGGCATTGTTCAGGGCCTTGGACTTAGGAGACTGAAATTAAAGCAGTTTCCCTGGATGCTTTCAAAACTCTTGGATCAAGCCCTACCTGAGATCCTCAGGTGAGGTTTCAGTCCCCATTTGTCCCCGAAGCTCCCTCTTCTCAGAGTCCCCAGAGGACTTTGGATCTGAAGCCGAAGGGCCAACATGCAGGATCACCCACCTGGCCAGGCAAGTGACAGAAAGCTCGACAACAGTTTGAACCAGGAAGGTTCACAATGTTTTTCTGCAGAATGGGCCATATGGATCGGGTTTTGTAGGAAAAGTAGTTTAGCACTTGTGGGGAGCGGGCAGCATGACAGACATTATGAAGCTGTGAAACGGGTTGTTGCTCAGGAACCCAACTGTGCCTTTGGCCCTGGTGGGGACAAGGCATGCCCATGAGTCCCTCGTTTATTCCACTGGAAGGGGCCCAACCCCCACACTCCCAGGCCCCCTCTAAGATTCGGCATTTGTGGAACCCCCGAG